AAAGTGTTGTCGTTAATACGCTACTAGCCTTTATACATGAATTTGGATAAAACACCAAAAATTGCACCTGAAAAGTGAACAACAGCAAATATCATAGGTGTTCCATATTTATGCTAAGAGGTGTTGTAAAATCATCTTTGAAACACCAGACACCAAAAGTTGTGACTTGTGTGTCTATAGGTTACTGAAAAGATTGTACCCTAAATCCCAATTTCCCACAATTCAATGGGGGAGAAATGGTTCTACCCATTTCATCATATTTAATTAAATATTATTTCCCACAATGCAAATTATAGAGAGGGCCACATTTCTCAATCATCAAAATAAAATAAACAACACATGTGCAAGACCAAAAATATCTTATATTCATTCTCCTAGATTAATCCTATATTCAATGTCATGTCTCAATATCGAATTTTAGAGGAAATAAATAAATATTTATTAAAATTTAAGATAAAATATTAAAAGTATTGATTAAGAAAATTTAAATTATGAAAAATACAAGCTTAATTTTTAAATATTGAGTTCAGCATTTATAAATAAATATATTATAAAAGGAGATCTACTTATTACATTATTAAGTTTTGAAACCCTACATTAAAAAGCTGAAATCCGAATATTTAATTATTCAATTATTAAATATTATGCTAATAATCATACTTACTACATTAAATTAATTAAATAAACATTTATAAGTACGTAATTTTATAGTTAGCATTGTATTTGTTTTTTAAAATCTTTTTAATTAACATAAACTTACATGATAAAATCATAATTAAATCAGATATATATTTTTATAAAATTTATATTTTAATCTAATAATTAGGTTAGTAAATTTTTATCATTTATAAAAGTTATTAAACAGTAAAAATACGAGAAAACTTATTTGAAAAGAGTGAAAGAGCCCCACCAATGTGTGTGTACATGTATTGCTTATTTTAAAATTATAATATGTCTTAAATAAAATTTAAAAGATATAGTAGTTTCAAATTCATTGATTTAAAAATAACTTAATTTATATAATACTAATATTTTGACATGATGGGAATAAGAATGGAATTGAGGAGACGCGCAGAAAAGGAGCGTGGGAATGAGTCGCCAATTATAGAATGAGTGGGAGCAAGTGAAATGTCATATTTGCTAGTGGCCCACCCACCTGTTATTCCTAATTACATGAAACAATTCATGCATAACTATTAAAATATATTCAATAAAAAAATAAACTCGTCTATTTTAAAATTTTGAAAACATAATTAATATTTTTTTATTTAATTATTAAGTTAAATATTAAACAGTAAGTTGGAAATATTTCAATTTTTTTAATTAGTATTTTTGTCGGTAATGTGCAAATTAAATATTTATTATATATATAATTTAAAATAAATTATATATAAATTATATTTAAAAATAAATAAATATTATTGAGTATGTAAATCATGTTTTTGGTTTTTGATAAATAAATTATATTGTGATATAAGGTTATTTTTGTCTTGATAATTTATTTTAAAATATTAAAATTTAATTCATAAATAATTATGATAAATAAAAATTAAATTAGGTATGAAGTTAAAAAAATTATTAAAATCTTTCTCATTAAAAAAAATCTCTAAAAATATTCTTATGTAAAATAATTATTTATATTTTATATATAGGAGTTAATGAGTATAAATTAAGAGAGAGAGAAAATAACATGTACATTATTTAAACCACAGTTGACATAAATTTAATCTTTTTAAGATAAATAAATTTAAAATAGATAGAAGAATTGACACAAATTTAAAATAATTATTATAAAAATTCGCAAACTTATTAAGTTTTGTTGTTAATGAATCTGCATTGCGAAACTTGACTTATCACATGTATGAATTGTGTGATAGTTTTATAAATAAAATTTTGGTATACGTAATATAAATTTCATTTTAATTAAATGATTAATTAGTTTTTTTTTATTTTTATATTTGACCCAATTGAATTTTTTTTCTTCAGTTTGTTCAATTTTGAAACCAATATACATCATTTAGATTAAATTAAATAAGTTTATGAACACGCGCGATTCAGCTCATCCCGATATAGTTTGGCTTATCTCCCATGGAACTTCATTTTAATTTATTAAATTTTGAATATCATGTATGGTATTGCATGTTTCCTACTTTATGATCTTCACTCTAAGACCCTCATCTTTTATCTACTTAGATTAACCACAATTATGGATGCCGACGAAATTAATTAATTAGTTGGTGATTGTTGGAGACCTAAAAAGAAATAGGAGATATTTTCACATTCGTTGAATATAATACAAACCCTTTATTAGTAGATTTCGTGTGCCATTTCTATTTTAAAGATCCAACTATCCAATTCAAGTGCATCGAATGTCTTAAGCATGATATTGTATTTTGTTGGAACATAAATCATAGTAGAATTAATGCCTTGTTTTTGGTAAATAATATAATTGTTTTCTTTACTTAATCATATTTTGGTTAGCTATCTGAAAGTGAAATCCCTCTTGGTTCTTGCAGCTCTGTACTTGCTAGCAATAGTATGAGTATGTTCATGACGTGATAAACTATACACTCTTGATCTACATTTAAAGAAGAAGAAATTAAGATAAAGTGAGACAATAGTTTTGTGTTCCCTATCAATAACCGTGACTCATAATTGAGTTGTTGAATGTAGGGGGTATTTCGCCAACGTATGATCAAATGTTTTTCCTTGTCCGGTCAGATGATTTGCAATGTGCTTATACGAGAATGGAGGTGTATTTATCATTTGCTTAAATTAGTTTTAAGCGTAGCCCAAATCACTTTGGACCTAGCCCAATATGTAGTCCATTTCTCCATGAAGAAAGGAATGGGTGGGTGGTGGAATATTTCAGCTTCAGGGGTTAAAAAACGCAATAATTATAATATTTTACTATTTAATTTGTGAAGTGGGAACCAACATAGAGTGAGTACGATTGAAGAAGGGTAATGATTTACCAGTTTATGTTTCTTGCTGACAAACAGGAGAATGGTCATTATCAAAGGTGTGACATGTTTTTAGCCAAAGGCAGAGTCCTCAAAAGTTGAACACCATCAAAGTGACACAATACAAACCTTTTAAAAGATATATGGATCCTAAGATAACTTTTTTAAAGACTCTTGCCAATTGATAACTGGGCAGGTACATCCAATTCTGATTTTATTTTTTTTATTATTATTATTTGCAACAAGTTTTGATTATCTAATCTAATAATCTGGTGGATCACTTTGGGTTATGCTGTTAAACCGTGGTATGACTTCCAGAGTGTTGGTGTAGATTTTTCATGATTGCGATCCTTCAATCAACTACAACCCACGAATTTGAATGATTACATATCACAACCTGGTTTGTACCCTCAAGCCAAGCCGTGTGGTGCACAACATGCATGTTCATCAGTAACAGAAATAGTAAACTTTGAATGAGAATAATCCAGGAATTCACAGAGGCAAAAAAGGGAAGAAGAGAAATTTAAAATTCAGGCCAACCAAAAAAATATATTTATTATTAATTTTTATAAAGTGAAAAGGTTTCATGTGTTGACAAAAAATTTCAATATATAACGCTGTCATTTAAATCTCAGTCGTCGTTATGTCTGTCCTTTTGAGAGGAGTCTTCTGGATAAAAAAATTATGATGAAGACTATTATTAAGTTAACAAGAAAAAGTCTAAATAAAAAAAAAATAAAAAAATACATGGTTTGATAAGAACTAAAATAATTTAATAATACTATTCTAAATTCAGTTAAATAGAAATAATAAACAAAAATATACAAGGATGAGAATTTAAAATAAAACCAATGCGATCATGTTAATTGGACTAGAATTTGTAGGTAATCTGGATGTAATCATTAGGCCCAAGTCCGTACGCTTGACTTGAGGTGTCTGAATAGGTGGAAAGTTAATTGGACCAGGCCCACTAAGTCACAGTCTTAACTCACCTATGGTCATACCTTAAAATTACTTGTGTGGATAACAAATATAAAAATATCCACAAACCTCCCTACCCTTTATTTGCAAAATCAGACCATTTAAATCCTCTTTTTGTTTAACACCTTCTATCAGTCACTCTATTTTATTTTTAATTTCAGAATAAGGTTCATTTTATGCTTTAACCTTTTTAATTTATAGAATCTGAGAAACATAAAACAAATATGTGTGTGATCCATCTCATCCTAAATAGCAGTATTCTATTATTATTGATCTGCTTAGTTAGTGTTATAAGTTATCATAACTACTAAAATGATATAATATTTCAGTGTTTTAATACTGCCATTGGCTAACTTTGTCACAGCATATAATTTGACACACTAAAAGAATCTTGCAAAATAATAAAACGAGTTTTGCACAATCTCTTTCGTTATTCACATTCCAAAACTCCCTAAGATGCCTTGCTTACCTTTACTTATGAAAAATAAAAAGAACTGTAGACAAAAACTAAGATCATAATAAATTAATAATATGAGAGTGGGAGAGGAAAAAGTTTTAAAAAGTTAAAATAAAAGAAGCGAGAAACGGGGCCCAATAACCAGCTAATGGGCATCGCATACCTCGTCAGATTCCTGTCCCTTTTCTTGCCACAAACCCTTTTGCTTTTCCTTTAACTTTTCCTTTTCTCAATAATTCATCCATCATAATAATTTTCATTTTAATTCTTTCTTAGGTCCCAAAGCACCTTTATTCCCTGGGTACTACAAAAAGCTAATCATGCATCTGGACATCGAAACTCAAAGCCTCATCTTACTAAACAGATAAAAAAAGATTACATTATTGAGTTAAATGTATATACATATAAGTATATATAAATATTATATAAGATAACTACTATAAAAATCAATAAATTTATTATACAGTGATGAAATGATAAAGTAAAATTACATAACATTTTTTTTATCTGTGATTAATATAAAACTTTATACTTACAAGTCTTTTCCTTCTGTATTATTTATATATAATATATATCATGATTACTTTTCTCTACATATTTAAGAATCTTATTCCATATTTCTTTCTCTTCTTTTGGTATCTCTTTCTTGTAAAACAAATCATGTCAATCTGTTGCATATTCCATTGATGGTGTAAATTAAACTGGTAAACACAAAGCAACCCCCAGATGACGAGAAAGAAGAAAGAGTGATAAGAGAATGGAAGAGTTTGATTACGAAGAGATAGTGAAAGCAACAGAAAACTTCAACCCTAGAAAGATGATAGGCAAAGGAAGCCATGGCATGGTCTACAAAGGCGTTGTGTTGAAAGATAACATCAAGAGATTGGTGGCTATAAAGAAACCCTCCCAAGGCCTTCAATCTCTTCACGACAACTCCAAGCTCGAAAACGAAATCCGAGTTCTATCCTCTCTAGGCCAAAACCCTAACGTGGTTAATCTTCTAGGCACTACTAGTACTAGCTATGAGCAGAAAGTGATTGTGATGGATCTCATGCCCAATGGCACCCTCCATGACATGCTCCATGTTAATAAAACTCCACCCACGTGGCATAAACGCGTTGAAATCGCCATGCAAATCGCTCGTTCGGTGCAGTTTCTTCACGAAGGGAAGCCTGTGGTGATCCACAGAGACATAAAGTCTTCCAACATATTGTTCGATTCCCAATGGAACGCAAAGTTGGCGGATTTTGGACTCGCGGTGAAAGGGGTTGACTCAGTGAGTCAACCCGCCGGTACGATAGGGTATCTGGACCCGTGTTACACCACCCCAGATAAACTGAGCACGAAAAACGACATGTTCAGCTTGGGTGTGGTTTTGTTGGAGATCGTAAGCGGAAGAAAGGCCATGGATGTGTGCAAAACGCCGGCTTCGGTTGTGGAGTGGGCGATTGGGTTAATGGAGGAACATGTTACGATGAAAATTTGTGACACGAGAGTAGCAGTGCCCAGTAACATGGTTGGCACGATCTCTCAGTTGGTACGATGTGCCGCACGTTGTGTGTCGGAAAATGAAGACGAAAGGCCTTCGGCAAGGGATGTTGTTTTGGGAATGGAAAGTTGTTTGGTGGAAGGAGTGAGGTTTCTTCCCCTTTGGAGATGCGTTTTGGTGTGGTTGAGGAAGAAGAAGAGGAAGCTTATCATGAGTATTGGTGCAAACAGGCAGAGAAGGATTCGGTGTATAGCACAAGAAGAAGAAGAAGAAGAAGAGGGTGAGGGAGATGCTGCTGTTTCCATGACCATAAAGCAAGTTTTGGCCGAGTCTGATTCGATCAGGTGAGTTGAATCGTTGTGAAACGCTGAGTCGTCAAACTTGTTTTGGTCAATAAAATGGTTTAATTGCTTAATATAAAAAAAAAAATATGGAGATTCATTCTGTTTTGTTTTTGTTTTTGGCCTGCAAGGCATGCACTACTAACATTCGTACCAAGCCAAAGGTGATTGTTAGTGTTACGTATGGAAATGGAAGGGTAGCTAGGGACAAAGTCGGTACTAATATTTCATGCATTTTAACTTGTGAGTTTTTAATGTATTATTTGATCTTTAAATGTTTTAGAATAATTTTAATTAGATCTTTCATCTTTTTATATTATTAATTATAATTCAATCTTGAGGTTAGTTTTAAATTATAAAAATATAAGTTTTTATAATTTTACGAAAATAATTAAGGAATGAAATATCAATTCTAACCAAATTTTGCTTTAGTCACTAATATAATTGATTTAGTAATTATGTCGAAGAATATTAGTATTTTTTTTATAAAAAAAAATACATGACAATATTTGTTTGTAAATCAGTATTAATATAAACATTATATAAATTTAATTATATATCATCTAAAAACATAAAATAAATTATAAAATATTAATTTCGTCCATAGCACACAAACATGTGTGGATTAATTTATAAAAGTTTGTATAATAAATGTGTTTTATTTGAGTTCAATAATTATTTAAGTGTTCTACTTAAGTTAAATAATTAACAATATGAAATTAACAGAATTTACATGCTTGCTAGTGCAGATAATTTGTTCTTAGGAGCATTTTATCACACTGTTTTGATCACACTATCATACTAGTTGAAATTATTTAATATCATGCATCTTTACTAATAATTTTTTATTTACGGATTGAAATAGAAAATGAGGAACTTCGATGTCAAATCGAAGTTGTTCAAAGATCAGTAAAAGATGCTAATCTTAAATTAAAACAAGTATCTCATTTAATCATGTTGTGATTTTAATTATTTTTAATTTCATTTATTGAACTTAATTAAATAATTACTTGATTATTTATCATTTTGACACTAAAATCAACAATATAAGATTGACACAATTTATGTACTTGTTAGTGTACATAATTTGTTCTTAGAGAAATGCTAGCACACTTTTTTTAATATAACATAAAATTATATTATATTATATTAATAATTTATCTTATTTTAATATGATATAAAATTATAACTTAATTATATATATATATATATATATATATACACACTTAAGGGAGCCATGAACTCCCCCAGTAGAAATGGAATGACATATAGGAAGATTTTTGGCAGTAAAAAGAGGTATTAAGAGCCTTATGCGGTTGCCTCTCCAAACAATTCTAGGACCTGAGTAGGCACTAGACAGGGAATATATAAGCTTTATTGCTCATAAATACGAACTTTTTCTTTTCTCTTTTTTCTTTCTTCTCGTCTAATTCATGTCACGTTAATTATTTTTATTCTTTACTTAGTTGAGATCATAAATAAAAACAAATATAAAGATTAGGTTGAAACAATGTGTTTTTATTGTTTTGATATTTTAAAAACCTTATTTTCCCCCGTTAAGACGTGTTAGTTTTTTTATGTGCAAATTTCATTACTATATTTATATATCGTTCTCCTCTGTTTGGTTTCTTGTTTGTAGTGGTGGCCCGGTCTTGATTTGTTGGTGTCCTTTACCTTGATTCTTTATTAATTGTGTATCAAATATTAATTAATTATACAAAAACAAGTTATATATCGATTCAACTATACTTCAATTGTTCTTGTTTTATTCAATTGAACAGATTTTTAAAATTCACTTTCGTCGCCTTTTATTTGTATCACATATACATTTTCTTGGCACGAGAAGGTTTTAGAGAAAGGGGAAGATATTTCATTTCAAGATTTCAATATAGGAGTAGTCTAATTTAGACCAAGTGAATGTGTGGTTAAACATTTAAAGGAAATTATTTTTACAATTAATTATATACTTAAAGATGATTAGCACAATTTTTCAATTACATAAATCATTTTTTTAGATATTTAACCTTTTTTTTCCACTTGGGGTAAGTCACACATCACCCTGATTGTAACACAAGTTCAAGGCTTAGTAGTGAAATTTTACCAAGGCATTTACAAACTAATGACGAAAGTCCATTGACATGAATCAAGATCAAATTCTAACTGTTAAAATGGTTGACATTGGGTAAATCAGAGTGAAAAACAGACTTCTGAGTCATCCAATTTTCATCTACCCACACCAATTTAAGCGAATGCTTAAATGTGTGATTCACCTATTAACACCAAAAATCCATTTTCGGGAGGGAGGTTCATGATGGTCATGGATTTCAACACAACGTAAGGGGAACTGTACGGTTGTTTTATGCGAGATGGCAGCAAAACTGTACTATAGTTTTGTGACAAGTTATGGTTGGATGTGAATAATTGCAGCAGAAGATTGGGCGAAACTTCATTCATAGTTCAAGAGACCACGAGATTCATACTGCAATTGTGGATATGGAATAAAGTGCAAATGAGACCAATTAATTGCACAAAGAGTTGGGTAAGTATTGTGGATGTGGTTTAGTGTCACAATTTGTTATTGATGGGTACTTGTTTTGAGGAGTAATGGAGCTACGGGTTACATCAATGGTTAGGGGAACCCATTTCTGGATGCGAAAAAAAAGAACTGAATTGCAACCATGATCATCTCATACTCCTCTCCACTCAACTGAATTGCAGGTTAATCAGATACACCACCAGCTTGTGACTAAACAAATTACATAACAGATTGTGATGTAATCTTGGTTCTAAAACCTGGCCATAATTATTGTACATTTAATTTCAAAAAATTAACATATTTTACGTATAAATTAAGATAAGATGAAGAAGAATTACCACTAATATTCCCAATCACAAATTAAATAGTTCAAGTTCGTCTAAATTTCTTTTATTCCTGCCTCATCGATTTATAAAAATTCCATCTCTTTAATGGGTATTGATATCTTTGCTAAATGTACGAGTATGTATTTCTTCAACCTTCCTATCTATTACTTTAAAATACTATAATGCAAAGTTAACAAAGAATCAAAACCAAATCCCAATTTCTCAACTACTTTTTTCATCCTTTTCCTAAATCAAAAACAATGTGCCAAGGTCTAACTCATGGAAAAATAAAATTTTACATTTCAAATAAACCTATAATGCTTCCGAAGATAAGATACATGGGGTAACCCAAAAATGAAATACAGCAGAACTACAATTAAGTCAGGGAACACTTTTTGTTTGACAACTTGAATTCCTGAGGCGATTGCAATTCCCTCATCCTGCGGAAATAATCAAGGGTTATTGATCATTCATTTTTGCACACTTTGCTCAAGACACATAGTTTCACCAACAAAATGGCCAACATTTCAAAACAGATAAAGTAATCATGCATCATCTCATTCATGTACCAATGCAGTTTTTTTTTCCCTGGGTGTAGACTACACAAAATCGATTTTTGAACGAAATCGATTTCCAGAAAGAAGAAAATATTTATTGATCTGTAGAAAGAAGTTAAGTAGACAATCTATAGTCCTTTTTCATCATGCAATTTAAAGAGTGGTCTGACGAGGACAAAAAAAGCAGCCAAAAAATAAGTGGATCACAAATTGCACAATAAGCAGCCAACCAGAACTTATTTTCCAACGTCAATCGAACAAAAACCTCAAACAAGCCAATACATTATGCCCGACACACCATAACTGTAACCAAACGGAGCACCCAAATATACTTTTCTTCAATTTTTACCTTAATTCCCTTATTAACATTAAACCCATATCAAATTGTTCAAAGATACAGCAAACAACTGAAACAATAGCTTTTAATAACCACTCAACCAAATAAGCCGTCCCAATTAGAAGAATTTAAAAATTCCCAATGAAAAAATTCAGATCACAATCTCCAACTAGAGAATACAAAAAATAGAGATCCAAGTATAGAAAAAACGAACAACATGCGAAAAAAAAGTATTTTGTGAAAGAATATAAATTTACCTAACCAGATCCAACGATGATGTTGTTGATTGGAATGAAGATGAGCTTGACAAAAAATCCCACGAATCCCATCACCACGAAACCGATGGCGGTACGCACAGCAACCTTAGAGAATTCTACAATAGCAAATGCAACCGAAAAGTCAAGATCCAGAAAACAAAAATTCGAAATTTATTTATTTGAATAAAAGAGGATTAGGGTTAGGGTAGCACCTTTGCGATCAGGTTTGTGGCATCGCTTGACGAGCCTGACGCTGTCCTTGGCGAATTCTCTGAGCGGATCGAACACTGAATCAATAGCATCCATTCTCTCTTCTCAATTGATTTACAATTTACAATTTACAAAGTGAAGGATTGTTTGCGTTTTATAAACACTTTTATTCTCTTTTAGTCAAATGTTTCTGCAAATAAATAAATAAATAATTGCGTTTGGAAATATACGTGTACTGAACCAATAGACTCGTGCCATGCTGGATCTTGCCACGTCAACTTAGAATTCTATCTTCTCCATGTAATCCAAACTAAATATTAATTTTAAATTATAGAAATTTATTTTAAATGGTAACTAAAAAATAAAAATCTTGTTTGAAAGATTTTTTAGTTGAAAATAGTAGAAATTTAATTAATTGACAGAAGCTATTTTAAGAATTTTATTTTTTTACACTGTTAGAGTAAAAAAGTTATATTATTAACCCATTATAAATTATTTTAGGTATTTACCAAAAAAAAAATTATTTTAGGTATAATTTAAAAATAATCATTAAAAGTCAACATTTTTACTATATATGGTCAATTATAATTGAACAATAATGTAATAAAAAGTATTATTAATACAATTTAATCAAAATTTAATTTTAATAATGTTATAAATATTTTATTTTACATAACGTCGACAAAGAAATCTGAAAATGGATCAAATCAATTGAGAAAATGTCTTTTGATTGAATGACTAATTATATAAACACGTTGATATATATAGTTCAACATAAAAAGACATTCCCTCAAAAAAAAAAAACATAAAAAGACATTTATCATAAAATAAGAAAGACGCGTCACTCTATTAAAAAAGAAAAGAAAAAGGTAATAAAGTAGTTAACTTTTTTTATCATAAGAAATTGTTAATTGGATTAGGAGTTGTAGGCAATATATTTCTCACTTGGATAAAGTTAATTTAGTTTAGTTAAAAATATGTTAGCTTTTTACACATGGAATGAGTTAGCTCATATATGGAGAGGAAGATAAAAAGAAAGAACAGGACTAATTGATATTAGATATAAAAATATATACTTATATTATATAATAATTTTATTAAATAAAGATTAATTAATTCAATAATTTAATTATTTAATATCATCTTTATGGTTAGGTTTCTCAAATTTCATGTAAATATATATAACTTTGCTTTTATTTCATTAATTTTTATTTCGTTGACTTTTGGTTTACATTTTAAAAAATGTGTCAAAAATATTTATCACAAAACTCTGTCAATCTATTTAATAGTGACTCTCAATCACCTACACATACTAATTTAAAGACACAAAAGTAGAGGTACTAACTAGACATCATTATTAAATTAAATTAATAAAATTAATGACAAAAATAAAATTTGACACATGATAAAAAAAAATTAACTTTTTAAAGTTAAAGACTAAAAATGAACTTTTATATGTTTATGTGGGGGAAAAAATATAAACTAATCTAATTTGAAATCTTTACATTGAATACGATATCATTCGTTCATGTCATAATTGTTAATATGTCATTTTTTTCTTATTTTAAAATAGAAATATTTAATATTTGAATTTTATAAATATGAAATTTTGGTTTCTGTGATCACATTGATACTCCATGGGTCATGATTGGGGACTTTAATGATATAGGGCCACCATCTAAATAAGCAAGGGGTGTGTTCTCTCAAAGTCGGGCAAATAAGTTTCTGCTTAGCTTGGATAAGTGTAGAATGATTAATCTATAATTTTTTGAAATAGAATTTATGTGGTAAAGAAGGTGTAGGTGGGTCGTTCAATATATCTTGGAGGTTGGATCGAAGTATTTCAATAAGGAATGGTGTCATTTATTTTTGAAGGCTACTGTGGAGCATTTGATACATCTTCATTCTGATCACAATCCTATACTATTACGATGCTATCAACAGGTTGCAGTAACGGTGGATCGCCCATTTAGGTTTTAGGCAGGATGGTGCATGCACAAGGATTATCCTTCGCTAGTATAATAAGCCTAATAGAAAAATGAGGGACATGTTTATACAGATTTGTGTATTGTCCAGAAGGAGTCGGTATGTTTTAACAAAGAGGTGTTTAGGAATATATTTGGCAGAAAGAAGGAATTAAAAGTCAGGTTGAGAGGTATTCAGAGGTCTTTAGAGAAGGTTGATTTCAGAAGGCCATCGTTGCTACAACAAGTGTTGCTACAGGAGTATGAATAGATTCTTTTTCAAGAAGAGACTATGTGGCTCTAGAAGTCTAAGGAGAAATGGATCAGGTTGGGAAGCATAAATACTTTTTTTCATACTTAAAGGCTTATCATGAGGAGGAAGATAAATCATATACATGGGTTGTTGCTTTCCTCGAGGAATTGGTGCATGGAGCCAGAGAAAATTGAAGGAGGAGGCAATGATGTTCTTGAAAAAATTATTTTGTACTCAAGAAGGGTCGAGGAAAAGGGGCTTAGGTGTTGTTAATGTGTAATGAAGCCAATTACAGAAAAGACAAATCAGGAGAATGTGGGGACAGGCGGACAGCTGGTAGTGGTCACGTGGCAGTGGATACAAATGATCCATTATATGTTTTGTTACTATTTCATAAAATAAATGTATAATGATTATTGTCACATGCACTTAGTTGAAGTTTATATTTGAAGACTTTTCTAATTTATTGATGTGCAACGGGCTACGTGTGTTTTTTTTTACTCATTTTGATAAGGATTTGGCAATAGTATGATTAAAATAAGATAATATGATTAAATAGAATCATGGAAACTAAGATTTATTATGTTCTAATGTATAGACTTTTTATTACATGAAGGTGTCCACTACATGATTTACACACCATTTGAATCACTTATTTTACTACTGTGAAGATGATCTTCCATTTTAAAAAAAATCTGTCATATTCAAGATTAATTTTTTTAAGTGAATTATAAATGAATTTTTCTTCCTTTCTAATTTAATTAGGTTCAAAGATTAGTATTAGTTTACCATTTACTTAGTGAGAGTTTGAGGGAAAATATAAGTGACCCATAAGGAAAATAGAAGTTGCCAAGTTCCTTCACAATTTTTGTTGTTAGCATATTAATTATTCATAACTATATCAACATTATTTTCTTGATTCAATTTTTAGTGAACTATAATAATCGAGTTGTGTTTATGGCAAGGTCAACGAGCCATTTGCTTTAGTTTTATTATAATAATCAAGTTGTGTTTATGTTTAATAAGTTAAGTAATTTACAAGGCCTTTGTTATTAATTTAATAAATGTTTCTTATTTATTCTAGGTAGCAGATGTTGGAAGTGGAACTGGAACTGCATCACCTTGTAACATTAGAAGATCATCGGGAGGAAGTAATATAGATTTAGAGAGTGGTCAAAATACTCCTAGTTAGGCATATGAGTAACTTCAATTATGGATTTTGGAGTTGCAAGATTTTGATTTCTTGCTATTTGAAGTCTTTAGAGTACTTAAACTACTTAGATTTTGTAAGAGGATCCTGTGTTTGAAGTAGTTACACTATTTTGATTTCTTGCCATTTTAAATTTTAAAGTATAATATATATTTTAATTGCTAATTAAAGTAACATTTACTTTTAAAAAAGAATTAATTCTTAATTGAATTTGTTTAAATATTTTAATTGAGAAACTATGAGTAAAAAATATCATTATTTAAAAATGATGAATTTGAAAGATATTTTTAAATATGATTCTAATTGATTTTAGTAGCTTACATTGCAATATAAGGCTTTCTAAACCCTATTTACAAGTGGGATTTCTAAAGTGAACCTAAAACATAATAAAAGACGTATTAAAGAAAGTCCAAATCCAATAAAATATAAAATGATCTGGATAGAAACCCCAAGACATGATAAAACCTAAAACTAAAATATATATTCTCTTGGTGCCTCATAAGAGATGTGCACTTTACCATAGGGAAAGTGCACTGATATCTAACTTTCTATTTTATTAAATGCGGAACATTTATGATTGTCATAAATTATTGATGTCATATGTAATATCTATTGATAATTAATGTTTCATATTACTAATCAATAAAATGTTTGTGATTAAGTTATCCCAGTAATCAATTAATAATGTTATAGTAATAATATATATATATATATATATATATATATATATATATATATT